AGGAAGAGCTAAAACAGAAGCAACAGAAAATTACTTTTCTGCTGGGCTAGAGCTAAGTGAAAGGTATTAAGAAAGCCATTCATGACAATCATTCTGCAAAGTAGCCAAAGGGAACCTGAGAATAAAAATGGCAATATTAACCACAAAGATGAAAAGCTATTGACAAGTTATTTGAAAGGCACGGAAAAAGATGTTAAGTTTCCCAAATCTCAGTTAAAATGAGGCTAAGATCACCAGAATCATCTGATCTTTGGAAAGTACGATCTTTGAAAGTCAGCATAGCTTCTGCTGAATTGGTTTCAATGCAACTGAATTCAAGAGATTTTTATATTTCAAAGCATAAAATTATAAATTTGTTCACACCAGAACCTGGCTTTCTTCTGAATAAATCAACAAATAAATCTGTCAGCCTACGTACCTAGTTTGGACCAATCAGCCATCATGAAATATCCACCATCAGGGATAGTGGGTTTCATTCCAAAATCTCGAAGAAATTTGACCATGAAGTCTCTCTTTGGTTCAAGGAGAGCTGGCAATTCATTGAAATAGCAATTTGGTTGATTCAATCTCCCCATCTCCAGCTCAAGACCTTGTGCTACAGCTTCCTGGAAGCAGTGAAAGGCACAACTTTAGAAAGGATTAAACCAAGTCAGCAGGAGATGATAAAATCATAAAGCGTACTTGAATTGGAGTGCTACAAGTATATATAGCATTTTGATGAACAGTTTGGAGGTTTTTCAAGATGTAATGTGGACCATAGGCCCAGCCGAGTTTCCAACCAGTTGTACTGAAAGTCTTCCCAGCACTGCCTATTGTCACAGTGCGCTCCCACATACCATCCAATGTTGCTAGGAGCAAATTGAAAGACACATTGGTTCAACTCTATGTAGGTAATCATCAGGTAACAGTATTGTTTCCTTACAGTGTCTGTAACTGGAACCACACATTTTTTCCATTGACTCTGATGCCCATTTTGGGGTTCTCCACATTACTGGGCATCAAAAAGTTAAAAGAGATTGGCAAGTGAAATGTACTATCTTGTTATAATATACAGAGAGACAGAAAAAAAGTGACTGTAAATGTATTTCTTATTTGTGTCATGTCCATCTGTTGAACCCAATGGATGGAATTGTGCCTTCAGCATGATGGTGAGCAAATAGAGCACATGATTGTGCACCATGATAAAAATAATAACTGAACTTGCAATGTACTGTAGTGAGTAATATATAATGCATACAATAAATAATCTGATTACTAAAATGCAGTCTGAGTTACCACTTTTACGTCTCACCCCATACATTGTCAAGGTGAATGCAAGTCAGTCTGGCTGTGAGACAACAGCATAACTCACCCATGCGCACATGCTCATGGCCTTTAAAGACCAGCCACTCATAAACTTCATCCATGATTGCTAATGCATTATATTTCTTGCACAGATCTGCAATCATTTCCAGTTCATCTCTTTCAAATACTTTCCCAATGGGATTGTGAGGTGTGTTCACAATAATTGCTTTGGTCTTCTCATTGAACTTTGAAGCCAACTCCGCTTTATCCAATCTCCAGTCCCTGGCATACGTGGTGCCTGAGGTCTTGCTCTGCAAGGAAGTATTTGCAATCTCTGTTCAAGAGCCTATTTGAAAATGACATCCAAAGGAAATATATGAATATTCCCAAGTGATGATTCCAAAGAGAATTAGGCCTGAATGCACAAACCTAATTTAGAGGAGATAAAGGAGCCTTTAAGCTAAAGAGCACTTTTTCCCTCATAGGAGTCCATGTGTCCTTAAAGGACTGTTAACTAAAGGAGGTTTCTGCATTTGGGCCTAAGACTCTATAAATATTATGCATGATCTTTTCTGGGAAGTCACAAAGTACAATGAAGGTGCATCATTCCCTGCTGTCTGACCATGAAAAGTATTTATAAATATGTCAATATGGTTGGCAAAATACACTTCTTTTTCAGGGATTCCCCTTGTGGTAATCACAATGCATGAAACTCAGCAAAGGCCACCCTAAAAGGGTGTTTCAGATAGACAAGTTAAGATTTCCATGATTATAGCACAATTGACATACAATTGACATTGACATATATACAGGGTCTTCATATTTAAACATAACAAAGGGAATATTTTGCTGCCTGTAGATGGAGGTCAGCAAATGCTATTTATGGCCCACCTGGTTGCCTATCTGCAAGGAAACACACCAGTGATAGCTTTCATCCTTCTAGGTATGCAACCCAGTGAGCTTTAGGGCACACACTGAACTCCACAAACGGGGCAAAAATGTCCCTATGTTGTGTCCATATGAACATCCTGTATGTCTACTAGGAATTTAAATTTTTTTTAGAGACACTCCATACATTTTGATATGCACCATATTAGCTTAACTTAAACCTACTTGAATTCAGACATTTGCCAATATAGAAATTGGTTAATTGAGATAATCTCATTCCCAACTATGTCCATTACAAAATCACACAAGTTTGAAGTCAACAATATCAGATCAAGTGATTTGCACATATTAAGGGCCAAGGATGTCGCACAATGGGTCCTAATACAAACTACATTCAACATTCTTCAACCTCAAGATCAAGTCCTAAAATCAGAAATAGGTTTGTGGTTCATTGTTCTAAGAGGCTCAAAGGATGCATATCCTAACCTAATATAGATGTATGACTTACAAGTCTCAGGGGGATGTAAACAGGAGTGCCCCCAGCCAGTTTCACCATTGGTTCATAACAATCAAAATACGGTTCAATGATGATCACTTCGTCACCAGGATCAACATTGCCCATGATGGCACAGAAAAGCGCTTCATAGGCACCAACAGTGACTAAAATTTCCTTGTTTGCATCAACATCTCTGCTTATTAGTTTGGAGTACATCTTTGAAAGTGCTGCAACAAGTCTTGGATGACCCTGCAAGTACAATCAAGACATTAAGAATGCTATTAGGTAGGCACAAAGCAATCACAAACACAGCAGGGTTATAAATCAAACCTACCTTTGTTATTCTCTATCTTCTTTGTATAACTTTCAAAAGCAGTTGATCTCACAGTGATGAACATAGCAGTTGGAATATAACTCATGTTGCTGCCATCTTTAGGAGTGATGAAATGGATGACATGAGTGGTTAAATGCTGGTTAGTCCTACCAGAATATTTTGTAAATAGTTGTTTTAAAAGTATCTTCCATGAGTAAATTTTCTGGTTTATTAGAGAATTGTCAACTGACATGGATCACAGCATGGTTTTGCTAAAGGCATCGTGCTTGACAAACTTAGTCTAGTTCTGATTGAACTTCTGAAATGTTGGATATAAGTTACCATTTGGTGTAGTGCATTTCCATCTTGCAAAGACATTTGAAATGGTCCTACAAAAAATATTACTTCTAAAGCCACCTTCCTTGGAGATTAAAAAAAGAGTGTAAGTGCCTAGGAACAAAAGTTCAAGTGTCACAATTAATGGAAAATTTGCCCTAGCTACTGAAGGTTATTCACAGAAATGCAAGTTTGACCTATTTCATTTGATTTTCCATGCAAAAGTATATGATGACATTCATTTAACTCAATCTTGCTTGGTTAGGGAGGTATTAATATCACACTGTACTAAATGTGGCATAATAAGGTGTTGGTGCTTACATATCTTTACCATGTGTTTCACTATATACAAACCAATAAAAAATGTCTACATAAAGAAATCATTCTGTTATACAGCAGGATCAATACCTCATCCCCATGAGGTTGAACAGTTTCCAGAAAAGCAGAACTCATGGGAAAAGCATAAAGGAGACTGAAGTTTGGTTTGGACATCAAATTTATTCCTTGGATTGATTGATGGAGAATAACCAGATCAATTTGTTGATGCCATGCATGACAGTCATTTATCAAGATTCAAGAAGCAAATATATATTTTGAAACTTCAGTAATCGTACGAGGTGTGACCTACCGTATGGTGTCAAGTACGAGGTTTGACCTACCACAGCCCTTTGGATATGAAGTGTGACCACAATTTGCATGGTATAAAATATACCCCTTTTTTTAAACAAGATTTTATTATTCAAAACCACTTAGGCCTGCAAATTTTGCCATTGACTGTCATCAGGTTTCACATTATTGGCAAACGTAAACTTGATGTCCTAAATGAAGGCCTCAAACCTGTTTGAGGGGTTGAGGCCATGCCACCAGGCCTCAACAAGGTGTCTTGGCTTAGGCATTGTCCCATGCATTTATCATACTTGATCTTGCAAAATGCCCTGTTCATGGAGCCAGTTAACTGACTACTTATGATTGAGAAAAACTTCGGCATCACATTGTGGCAGCTATTGCTGCTGATGGAGCAACATGCCTCTATGCATGGCAATATGCATGTGGTGGTGGATACAGGGGGGCAAGGCATGGGAAGGTTTGCATTCAATTCTTTTATTTTTAGTCACCTACATTAAGCATTATTGGGGCCAGTGAAAGTTTTCCAAGGTATCCAAGTTTTTACCCCAGACAGGAAATGTAAAGAGGCAATAGGACAGAGTGTGGTGGTAGGTGTGTGGGGGGGGGGGGGGGGTGGTAAGAACTAGGGAACTGCCCCCCCCCCATTGATAAATTTCTATATCCACTACTGTATGCATGTGACCCCCCACCCATGGGCTTCCCGTTCAGTGACACTGACAGGTATATTGTGGGTGTACTTGGGGATGATCGAGTCCAGATAGACCACCCCCCTAAAAAAAAATAAACCTCCCAATATGCTTGTAATTTCATCACACAGTGTCATCCCTACAGCATAATGCAAGACACCTCCCCACATGGAAGGTCACACCTCATACCCAAAGAGCTGTGGTAGGTCACAGGCCATGCCTCATACAATTACCGAAACTTCTCTAATTCATAGAATTTCTGCTGAGCTGTTCAGAAAGAATTTGCCAGCTTAGGTTCAGAAGTCTTCCCTCTAAATGTTTAAATATAATTCCTCTCTATTCTCTCTGAGTGCATCAAGATGTAAAGATAGGCAAAATACATCCATTAAATTCAAATGTACACTTTTCATCATACTGATCTCTTCTGCCATTTCCTAGGCAGGAAGTGAGAATGGGTGATATGAGACTACTATGAAAACTGATTCAGATAAAAGAAATTGACTGAATTCGCTTCCACATCTGAGCATACATTTATGAAAAGGTGAAAACTAATGCAGGAATTTAGGTTATTGCCTTGCCATTGCACAGTGGAACAATAGTCAGAAATTCTCGGGCAAAAGTCATATTTTGAAAATGGAGGAAGAAAAAATTGTTTGTTGTCAAAAGTTATGGATTGAAGTCCTTGTCCTGTAATGAGTACCTATTAATGAAGAACAAAATCAGCCCCTAATATTCTGTGCCCAGCTGCATCTAAAGTGACAAAATTTGTTTTGAAGACCACTTCCAGCCAAATGGCATTGCTGTCTAAAATCCTCTTTGTCTTTCTGGAAGCCTTTGCACAATGAACCCAACGACTTCTGAAAAGCTTGGCACTTTCAACAATTCACACTGCCCTGACTCATGAAAATCTTGGTTTACTCTGTAGTGGGCTTGAATGTGCTTGACCAGCACAGGAATGACACCTGAGTAGCAAGGTCAGCTTGGTTCATCTCCCTCGTGGTGTTGTAGAGGTCCCTACAGGTCAAAGGCTTGGTCATCCTTTCTGAAAAAATTGCGAGACCACAATATGAAAAAAAAACCCACACCTTAAGCACAATTGGGTGCAGGAGATCAGGGGCTGATTTTGTTCTTCATTAATAGGTACTCATTGGCCTATAAGGAAATCTCTGAGAAACCTTGAGAAGTATTTCAAATTGATTTAATAAATTTACCTTGTCATTAGAGGTAGTTCACCAATCAACTACATATGATTTAATAAATAGCATGAGTTATACACATACATCAGGAGTAAAACTATACATACAATAAGCAAGACTTGCCTTTAGGTGCACCTTCGGGTCACACTTGATGAAAACACAGTGACAAGAACAGTGGTATTAATCCATAACTTTAGACAACCAACAGGTT